GATCCCAGCTATTCCCCGCAAGGTACTTCAGTTTGAATTATCTTCCCGCGCGCGGAAATTTGAATGGATTATGTGCGCGCACTGACGTTGCGACGGCCTGGCACGTTTCCAATCGGCCTTTGGTGAATGCTACTTTATTCTTCTGAGTTATTCCCAGTACTCTCCATTCTATTCTGTGCTGGTATGTGTCTTATTTTGTTCTTTTACTATTCTGCTCCTACTTACAACGAATCTGTGCTGTATTGCCTCAGAAAGGATAGTACTGCAGGTAAGCGAGTTGGTTTACCTGTCCTCTCGAGTTTTGAAAACGAGAACTCGGTAGACTAGTAAACGAAAATCCGAACGTCCACTATGTTTCCAAATAGGATCTCTTACTCGCTTTAAACTGTTCACTTGTTGCAGCCTTGTCTCATTGTTCCTATTTTTCGTGCATTTTTGATGTAAATATCCGAGAAGTATGTACAAAAGCCAATTCATGTATCCTAAAACGCACTCATTTAACCTGTTTTCTTTCGTGTTTTCCTAGGTGGTCGCGAGAAAACTGCTACGCGATCCCTTGGAAGATCTTGAAAGAGGCTAAAAGGCGATTGAACTTAGTATGAGTGCAAAAACATTTGTGCTATTACTTGTCAACCCCCTGAGATGTGAGACAATTGTGCAACTTAGTGTTTCATACCACCTTTCCTTCTCCCTCATACCTTTCGTCATTGTTTTGTATGAGCGATTTGCCAAACCTGCTAGCTCGCTATTTATCCGTCATCGGGAATGCATTCTGATAGTTACCACACCTGTCCGATAAATTGAGGGCAATCCGTATCGACCTTACTTACAAATACAGCTTACAATTTATTAGTAAAAATAGCTACCGGCGCAATGTGCCTCCGGGGTGGCCAGTCTGTTGGAAGACAATTAGGACTGAGCCTAACGCAGAGGGACGAATTCCGGAGCGAACGAAAATTGCTTACGCAGCTCGGATTCCCTCTTCTCCAAAGCTCAGTCCCAAAACTAAGTAAATCTGTGAATCTGACACCAAGTTCCCGGCCGGAGCCACACTGCGCCTATTACCTAGCCAAGTAACTCAGCACAAATGTATGAGGAATAGGCTTGCATATGAAAGAAAAGCGGAGAACGATGTTTTCGTTCTCAAAAGTTCGCTTCAGTCTCTCTTAAAACTCACACCAGGGTTGTGTCGACGCAACCCCACAACAACCGGTGTGAATCTCGAGAGGAGGACTGGTATTATAACTCGCTTACCTGCAGTATTATCCTTTCTGTTGGGCAAGACAGCACAGATTCGCTGTAAGTAATAGCAGAATAGCAACAGAACAAAATAGGACACATACTAGCACAGAATAGAATGGAGAGTACTGGGAATAACTCAGAAGAATAAAGTAGCATTCACAAAGGCCGATTGGAAACGTGCCAGGCCGTCGCAACGTCAGTGCGCACATAATCCATTCAAATTTCCGCGCGCGGGAAGATAATTTGAAACTGAAGTACCTTGCGGGGAATAGATGGGATCAGCGAACTTGATGCACTTGCGGTCGGGCTCCGGCTCAAAATACTCACTGATTTCTATGATTTTCACTAGAATTTGGATCGTTTCTTGCTTTATATTATGGCTGCCATTAGTTTTCACCAAGCTGAGCCCGCACCCAAAATTGCTGCTTATTTCATTTGACGGGTTCCGCTACGACCTACTTAATGCAACTTGGGTGAGTTTAGACAAGAAGGCTTCCTATTCTTTATTTTTCTTATTTCTGTTTATGGAGAACGTCGAAAATGATATAGCTGTAATTACGTTGAGTTTCCATGGAGCCATTTGTTCATGGCCTATTTTTTTCGAAGGTGTAATGGTTGTGGATGCATTTTTCCTGAAAGGGAAAGGGCTTTCCTAAGGTTCAGTCTCAATTCATTTCATTTTCGGACTCTGAGAACCCAATATAAGTAATGTGGAATGTTCCCTTTAAGTAGTGCGTGTAGTCCGAAAAGCGGAGAAGTCGCTTTCTGTCTTTGCGACTCATATATACTTAGTATCCTCCCACCATACTAGAGGTAAGCCAAATCCCTAGCTTTGCCCGATTGAGATTGGTATCAATCCCCGTTTTGGGATGCGGCACGCATTCTACTTCCATTTGTACATTCGTAGTGGCGTTTGAATGCGATGTGGCCTATACAATGACTTGCGGGGGCCAGCCGATGTACAAGTCAGTGTTTTTATCCTCCCAGACAAGTCTGGTACCAATTAACCGACCCCGGAGGGAAGGCTTGGTTGGCCCGGGCGACTCACGACCCAGGATTTGATCCCCGGACCGCTCGCGTGGTAAGCGTGCCACTTGCCACTACACCACTTCCGCCCTTAAAGGAGGAAGGAAAATATTTAGGCTAACACTTCAAAAAGCCTAGAATTATAATGCAGACGCTGCAATACAGCTCATGCCTTTCGTTTCAGACTCCCAATATCTACAAATGGGCAAATCGTTCATCATGGTTCGTGAACGGAGTCAGATCTCAATATGTTACTTATACAGCACCCAATCATATGAGTATTGTAACCGGTTAGTTAATACCTCATTCTTTTTTCGTTTTAAAGTTTTCTTTTATGCTGCATTGGTGATTGCGTCATAGGCAAATGCACACTTGCTGTACTGGCCATATTTGAGTTCCCAGGTGCTTCATATTAATCGGATCTAAAACTGATCAGTGTTGAGTGAGAAAGCGAGGCATTTGATGCAGGTTTGTGCCGCCTACCTTAATACCAATTCTTGCACGGGAGTAAGCTCTCTATATTTGAAGCTCCGAAACCTATGCGAAAGAGAAATCGAAGTTCATCCAACACGGAACGCCTTCTCGCGAAAATCGGCCTTGCTGTAGGCGGTGCGAGTTATTGCACTACTTAACCCTCCCGCCTCCTTATTAGTAGAGATCCGATTAATGTTTTGATCCTATAAGCAGAGGGATGACGTTTCAAGGGCTTCTCATCTACGCCAAGAAGTTGTCGTTCCTACTAAGCAGCTTTTTCAGAATCAACAGCTCTGTATTAGCTGTGGGTTTGTGGTGCTCGTTGTTGATTACTCTCACGTTTGTAGTAATCTTCTTGTTTTTGAACACGTGGATTTGTTTACGCTCAAATGTCGTTTCCAGGAATGCATGAGCAGGACCACGGAATCGTCTCTAATTATTTTTATGAACCTGAAAATGGAAAATTGTGCGTTTTTCATATTCATCCAATGTTAGATAGTGTTTAAGTCATGTTTCTCTTTTAGTTTTGATTACTTCAACCTCACACAAAAGGAGGGTGTGGTTAATAAATCATTAGACACGTCATGGTACAAAGGAGATCCCATTTGGCTGGCCAACGAAAGGTTAGACTTCCTTTTTTGATCATTGGGAATTCTATCATAATCTTTTCAAGTGGAAACATAACTTTGCCTTCCTCCAGGCTTCCACTTCGTTAGCGGGAAGCCTTTGTAATAACAAACGGTAAAATCCCAAAGGTAATACGGCCTTATTTTGTTAAGATTCGAGGCTTCCCGTCGATCGGTTTCATTTTACTGGCCAAGTGGAGAGGCGTCGTACTCGAAACCGCCTCACAAACCATCGCTATATAGGTATCTTCCTTTTTTATTCTTCCATAAAGTTTTTTTTTCATCGAGTTGACTTTTTGTTCACACAATCGGCCTTATTCGTGACGAAATCTCAGTTGCTTTGAACTTGTTGGTTTGAAGGGAATGGAGAGGATATCGCAATCTCAGCGCGTGGATGACCGATGTTGATGATATCGTCAAACTGTTCACCGATGAGAAAGACCCCATCAACTTTCTTGCATGGTATGTCTTGCTATGTGACTTCGATTCACTGTCTCAGTTTTCATTTTGAAGGTACATTGCTGAGCCCGATCACACTCTCCACAAGAATGGTTTCTACAATGGCGAATTGAGGAAGATCATTCATCAACTCGATGAGTTGTTTGGCTATCTTGTGGCGAGACTACAAGATACTGGGTTAGAAAATATTGTGAATGTG